ATGCAGGCAGCGGAGTTCAATCCTCGTGATCAACCTTCTTCACATTCTGCAACTCATCAACCCTAATAAATTGTTTAGGTTTAAATTTTTGTAGTTTTATTGTTACTTTGATTCTGGTTAGGTTTAATTTGCAAGATTACTCAGGTTTAAACATTTGTAGTATTATTGATACCTTGATTTCATTTATGTTATTTTTGCAAAGCACATTTACATTAATTTATCATGTATTTGGATCTATTAATTTTTAATGGTGAGAAATTTTTAATTTGTTATCACAATTTGTATTTATTTTAGATTATATTTAATTATGTATAAATTTATTGATAATAGAATCAGAGGTTTAAATGTTTAATGAGTTAATAATATGTTTTTTATAATAATATAAATAATTATAAGATAAAAGGTGAGGGAGTGAATATTCCAAAAAAAAAAAAAAAACAACAGCAAATAAAAAAAAGGCAATGTAGATTAGCGGGGGTTCACAACCGCCGCTAAAATATTACAATTTTATTAAATTATTTATTTTAACGTCGGTTATTTCTAACGTCGGTTATTTCGTTGGTTGTGTTAAACCGACGCTGAAATATTTAATGGCGGAAATTTCCACGTCAGTTTTATAAAGGCCATGATTTTTTTTTGCGGCGGTTGAAACCGGCGCTAAGACTAAGAAATACCGCCGCTAAAACATGTTTTTGTTGTAGTGTACATATTGTTAATATCTATATATATTATAAAAGTCCTTCACTAAAGTTGTTATATGGAAAAAAAATATAGATTTTAATATTGGTTTTCTTTTGTTTATATTTTGCTTTATTATTTTTATTATTTTCAATATTTTTAAATTTTTACTTTTAAAAAAAATTAAATCATATATATTTTAATAAATTAAAAATATACATACTTTATTATAAAAATATACATCATTAAAATATCATACAAATTATTTTGCATATTTATAAATCTCTTCTTTCAATCTCAATCGTGCAAGTTTTAACGGCAGAATAAGATCCTCTGAGACAACTTTTGGTGACTGTGAGAAAATGCAAACAATTTTAAATCTTCTTCTAATACAATTTATCCTTTTCCATCATATTACTCCTTCCCCTCTGTGGGCTTTCTCAAGACCCGGGTATATACGACGGATTATTTTTATAAATAAAAAAAAATATTTGAATACTATATATATATATATATATATATATATATATATATATATATATATATATATCATTAATGCTATATTTTTGTTCGATTTATATTTGATACATTTGCATAAGACATGCCAAAGATTTTGTAACGATTATGTGTTTATGCAGTTACAAGATGAAGTTAAAAAATTATTTTATAAAATAAAAAAGATATAAAGTAATAATTATAAATATTTTATATCCATAAAATTAAATTAACAAGTCAAAATAAATGTAATACATTTTTTATTTAAATTATGTATAAAAATAAAAATACGTGTAAATATAATTGCAAAAAATAAAACAAAATCAACTCATATAACAATCAAATTTTAAATATGAATTGTCATATTAGATTTTATGAAAAAATATTCTTAACTAATTATTACCTCCAAATAATTTTATTTTATTGGGTAAAATAAAACTATTTGATCATCAACGAGATGATTACGACTTTGGCAATCTTCGCCCCTATAACCATATATAAACGACAAATTTCTTAGTCCAATAAATTATGGAAACATCTTCTCATTGGATCAATGGTTCAAACCTAAACATTTGAGTCAAATACTGTTTGATCTTACCATTACCTCATCCAATCTCTTCGGCCCAATAATTACTTGAAATCTTACTTCAAAGCAGTGAGCTATAGTAATGGCACATCTTGAAAGGATGGGCCCATATGAGGTTAAGTGTGGACTGTGGACATTGTAAGAGTCTGGGTAAAGCATATAGGCCCAACAAATATGTGCAGCTGCAAACATCATAACCTTTTATTGAATGAAGGGAGAAGACAATTCCACACTGCTTGAATCTCATCGGAAGTTATGCCACTATATATGGAAAATTGGATTGTCGTATCACATCATATAATTTCTTTTTCCTACATATTTAAAAAGGTACGAGACCCACTCAAATTTTTTTCTCTTTTTTTTTTATATAGTGGGACCCACAATATTTATGTATCTATGATATGACACAAAAAGTGAGGTGTAATATTATATTCATAAAATCCTCTATATATATATATATATATATATATAGGACTTATCATTTCTCACGTTGCTTGAGATAATTTTATCTTCGGCTACTAAATCATAACCGTACAAAAATCAATCAATGGTGTTAAAAGATGAGAGAGAAAAAGAGAATCATAACCATTCAAAGGTAAATCAATTAATATAAGAAAATAAATAAATAAAACGACGTAGTTTAATATTTTATATTTATTTTCACCTTTGTATAGTTATGATTGCTCATATTTAATGCTTTCACATTAAATATGATGAATCATAACCATACAAAGATGAAAATAAATATAACCGTTGGATCAACATAATCGATCTAACGGTGAAATTGATTGGTAGTAACATTGGTAGTAATACTAATTGATTGTTACAATATCCTATGGAACCAATGCTCTCTACGTAACGAATATAAAGGTTCAACGATTTTGATGATAACAAACAAGCATGGAAAGAAAGATTCAAAGTGCAACCATCAAAAAGAAGTCTAAAGAATATCAAGACTAGTGGCGGAGCCACATACCTCCTGGGTGTGGCCTCGGCCCGGGCTAAATTTTAACAAATTATACGTATTATATATAATTATATAATTAATTATAATTTAGTCCGGGTTAAAATTATAATTTGGCCCGGGCTACAATTTTTAATTTGGCCCTATCTAAAACTTAAAATATTTTTGGTAAGAGATTTGGGTAAGTTGTATTAGGTTATGTGTTCAATTTTTTAGTAAAATTATAATTTTTCTTGGTACGGCCTACTCAGGTGCTCTGTATTTAATCTAATTTAAATGGGAACTACACTATGTACTTTCCAGAAAAGTTACACTATGTACTTCCGGGAGTATATAATATAATTTGCAAAAAAATTTAAAAAATATTTGTAAACGGATCCTTTCCCAATTTAAATATATTATGATATGAACTAATTAAAATTTAAAAAAAAAAAATCGTATAATTTTTTTGGCCCGGGCTCAATTTTGAGCCCCGCTCCGCCACTGATCAAGACTCAAGCTTTAAGAGAAGACTCTAAGTCCAAGCAATCTCAAAGTAACATATCATAGGACTTGGGATTATTTAAAAGGGCAATTGATTCCTTGTGTGAACGAAGCTCAAAGTATTTTTCAAACACATGCATTAAATCATCGTTTAACATTCAAATACATTCCTAGCATGAAAATATATTTTTCAATGTTTATCAAATGTTTAAAAAATATTTGAAACTGATTTGGATCAAGAGAAAACTATTTTGGGTTGAAATCCAACCTTTCAACAGGTTGGTAATCGATTACCTAAGTAATGGTAATCGATTACCCTTCATGGTAATCGATTACTCACACAATGGTAATTGATTACCTACTGTGCAGAAGACAAAATAACAGATATAAAACGGTTAGTTTGCTAAAATGAGTAGAAAAACACCCATGAGGGCCATCTATAAACAGAGACTACTGTTCCGTTCATTAGACTACACTTCTTGATCATTATTACTCATTTATATCATACTACTTGTATTATTCTTGTCTTTTTTTTATCTTAAATCCTCTTTGAGCTTTATTCTTGTGAGAGTGTCATCCACCATTGTTCTTCAACTTGTATTATTTGTACTTTAAGAGTACTTAGCCATTATTAAACACCTCCATTTAATTTCTTGAATAGTTAGGGGAGTGAACCATATACACTAGAGAGGTCACCAAATTCCTAAGAAAAATTTAGAGTGAAAAATTGTAAGGCATCAAAAGCCCAAAGTCTTGAAAGGTTGTAGTGATTTGTCAAGCACCCTCAAACTTGATAGTTAGTGAAAAAGTTTGATCGAACGATTTCAGTCTGGACGTAGGTCACGGTGGTGGTGACCGAACCATGATACATCTAATTTGCAATTTCTCCAACCTTAAACTCTTTAATTTAGTATTGAAATTGCTATTTTTGATTGTGTCTATCTATTTGTTTGCTTACTTTATTGATCACACACTTTCTCTCACACTTAGACTTTTCCTTATTAAATCATTTTATTGAAGAAACAAACACTCGTTAAAATATCAAAGGAGACACTTTGTGAAAATTTTTTGTAAAACTCAATTCACCCCCTCTTAAGTATTGAAGTCATTTGTCCAACATACCCTACCCCTTATTTTTATATGTTGGATATTTAGTTTTTGACTTTAATGTTTCTACCGTGAATGTTAATAAGTTATCTATATTTGCTTTCGAAACGACTTCGTTTTGCATTGAAAAATTAAAAAATTATAATGAAAAAGACTATTATAACCCTGAAATAAATTTTAATTACAAAAATATTTTTATTTTCGCCTCAAAATAACGTCATTTTGAACTTAATATAGATAAATTATCTATATTACTTTAAAAAAAACGAACCCTTAGTTTTTATTAGTATGAAATAGACTTTTATGTTTTATTTACGTTTTTACAATTTTGTTCATCCCTATCATTTCTACATAGATTCATTCTACGTTTTAACAACAATGAACATGTACATCATCAGTTATACCTTATTTTAATTTATAGGATTAATATTTCTTATATATTACAAAATAAAATTATTTTCTATACACATATAAAAATATATAAAACTTATATTAAAAAAAAATATATAAAACTATGTAAAGAGAAAAAAAATATAAATTATGTACACTTTTATATATGTATATAAAATAAAATTATCGTTGTAACATTAAATTCACTTATCCCTTAATTTATTTGAATAATTAAAGACATGAATATATATTTTTTTTCCTAATATTATTGACGAGGTAATTTGTTTGTCCCCTAGATAAAAGGGAAAAACAGAACATAAACACACAAGCTGTCAGCCAGTTGAATCGGAGATTTGTGGATAAAAAAAAAAAAATGTGCAGCCTGGAGAAGCGTGGCAACCTGTGGGTATTGACCCTCACCGGCGACAACCAGCACCGCCTCAGCCCCACCCTCATCGACTCCCTCCTCTCAACCCTTAACCAAGTCGCCTCTCAAGCCACCCCTGGCTCCGTCCTCCTCACCACCGCTAACGGCAGATTCTTCTCCAACGGCTTTGACCTAGCCTATGCCCGTGCCGCCGGCTCCGAATCCGCCGCCGCGGATCGGCTTCACTTCATGGTCGAGTCCCTCAAGCCAGTCGTGGCAGCGCTCATGTCCCTCCACATGCCCACCATCGCCGCCGTCAACGGTCACGTCGCCGCCGCCGGGTTCATACTGGCGATCAGCCACGATTACGTCCTCATGAGGAGTGACCGCGGAGTGCTGTACATGCCGGAGGTGGACCTCGGGCTGCCGCTGCCGGATTACTTCGCCGCCGCGATGAGGGAGAAGATCAGGTCTCCGGCGGCGCTGCGGGACGTGTTGCTGGGCGGCGTGAAGGCAAAGGCGGCGGATGGGGTGAAGATGGGCATCGTGGATTCGGCGCACGATAGCGCGGAGAGTACAGTGGAGGCTGCGATGCGCCTGGGGGAACAGCTGGCACGGAGGAAGTGGAATGGCGAAGTGTACGCAGATATAAGGAAGAGTTTGTACCCACAACTGTGTGGCGTTTTGGGATTGACTCAGAAAGTTATCATATCCAAGATCTGAATCTCATCACTTGTTTTTATTTCTGTTTTCTATATCCTTTGTAAAGGATACTGCTAATAAATAATAAAATAATAGTCTTTTCTTCTACATCGAATGCTTAAAAATAGAAAAGTTATCTTATTTTGACATTGCACCTCTGCATCCTTTGTATCAACCAATCTATTGCACCTCAAGCTTGAAAAAATAAAAAATAAAAATGAAACATCTACGAAGTTACTTGTCCAGGATATCTTTGGTACAAAGACAATTACGAGGCTTTGATGAAGGGTTAATTTTAAATTTCCGAAAAAACTGATTGAGAATCCTATTTATTCGTATGAATTGTTAAATGTTTTTAAATATTAAAGAAAACAGAGAGAAAGAAAGGATTGAGAAAGAGAAAGAACTGCTCTGAATAATACTTTGTGTATTTTCATATCGAATCAAAGTACACTATGACCACTATTTATACAATACTGAAGTAACTCTTATATCAAAAAACTGAAAATAACTAACATAACTACAATACAGTTGAACCGACAAAATTGATATGATAATACCCTCCCTTCAAGTTGGAAGGTTGATGTCAAGCAATCCCTTGTTAATGAGAGTATGAAATTGTGATGGCTGCAAGGCTTTAGTAAAAGTGTCTGCAAGTTGATGCCTGGTGGAGATAGGAAGGAGATGAATGAGACTAGCTTGAATCTTTTCCCTAGTAATATGACAATCTAACTCTATATGTTTACGTCGCTCATGAAAAGTGGGATTATGAGCTAAATATATAGCCGTCTGATTATCACAAAAGACAGAAGCTGGTTGAGAAATGGAAATGTGGAGGTCATGAAGTATAAATTGAAGTCACTGAAGTTCACACGTAACTTGTGCAATTGCCCGATATTCTGCTTCTGAAGATGATCTAGAAACTGTGGTTTGCTTCTTCAATTTCCAGGATATTAGAGATGATCCTAGAAATATACAGAAACCAGATATCGACCTCCTGGTGTCAAGGCAAGATGCCCAATCTGAATCTGTAAAAGCAGATATGTGAAATTCGTTTGTGGTAGGGAAAAATAGACCTTTTGATGGAGATCCTTTTATATATCGAAGAACATGACAAGCATCATTGTAATGACTATCCATAGGATTAGAAACATATTGGTTGAGTTGTTGAATGGCATGAGAGATATCGGGGCGTGTGATGGCGAGGTATAACAGTCTTCCAATGAGTCTGCGATACTCTGGAATATCATGATAGGGAGTGCCTTGATGTTTTTGAAGTTTGTGAGCTGGATCTAAAGGAGTTGAGGCAGGTTTAGCAGCCAGGAAACCTGTATCAGATAATAACTCCAATGCATATTTTCTTCCCACGTTTGGATCTAGCAATTTCTAAACCAAGGAAAAATATTAAAGGACCCGGATCTTTGATACTGAATTGTTGATGAAGAGAAGATTTAACCATGGAAATTTCAACTTGATCATTTCCAGTTAAAACAATGTCGTCCACATAAACAAGTAAGGCAGTGAATGAGTTTTCTTTGTGTTTAACAAATAGTGAGTAGTCAGCTAAAGATTGAGTATAACCCAAAGCAAGTGGTGCAGATGTAAGCTTGGCATTCCACTGCCTACTAGCCTGCTTTAAACCATATAAAGATTTCTGCAATTTACATACTTGAGATGGAGAGGAAGCATGAAGACCTGGGGGAAACACCATGTAAACTTCTTCATTCAAATCACCATGAAGAAAGGCATTGTTTATATCTAGTTGTTCAATGAGCCAGTTTCGGGAAGTAGCAATTGCAACCAGAGTTCTCACTGTTGTAAGTTTAACAACAAGTGAAAAAGTGTCTAAATAGTCAATACCTTCCAATTGAGTGAAACATTTAGCCACTAGACGAGCTTTGTATCGATCTATATTTCCATCAGCTTTATGTTTTATTTTGTATACCTATTTGCAGCCAATGGGTTGTTTGTTAGCTGGTAAGTCCACAAGAATCCATGTTTTGTTCCTATCTAAAGCCTGTATTTCATCCTTCATTGCTTGCTGCCAATATGGGTTAGATGCAGCTTGTTTGTATGTGTGTGGTTCAGAATAAGATGAGATATTATGACAAAAAGAAGTATGAGAGGGAGAATAATGATCATAAGATAAAACTGAAGTCAAAGGATAAGGGGTTAAATGAGTACCTGAGGATGCAGTCGTTGCAGCATGTGCAGTAGGTAAGTTATAGTGAAAATTATTGAGATATTTTGGTAAATTCTTTTTTCTTGATGATGTCCTTGAAGTGGTCTGAGTTTGAGGATTACTGTTTGTAGCAGAAGGGTGATGGATATCTATATCATATATTGAATTTTGAGGTTGGGATAAGGTTGGTTGAGTTGAATTGGGTATAGGATCATCATATGTAGGTGTATTTTGGTGAGATGAAGTGGTAATATGTAAAGGATTTTGCTGATCTAATTTGGCAAATGGAAAAATGGATTCATAAAAGATAACATTTCTAGAAACAAAAGTGTTATGAGTTGACAGATCATAAAGAAGGTAGCCTTTAGATCTAACTTTATATCCAAGAAAAATAGCTTTTCTGGCTCGATGATCAAATTTTGTGCGACCAACAGAGAGAGTAGAGGCATAACATAGACATCCAAAGACTTTAAGGTGAATTAACAGAGGAAGTTCATTATGTAATAGTTCATAAGGGCTATTGTTTTTGAGATTGGGAGAAGGTAATCTATTTATGATGTGTACTGCATGAGTGATGCAGTAGTTCCAGAAAGTTTTTGGAATTTTTGATTGAAAGAGAAGGGATCTGGCCGCATTGAGAATGTGTTGATGTTTTCTTTCAACAACATCATTCTGATGTGGAGACTCTACACATGTGGTTTGATGTATAATGCCTTTTGAATTGAAGAATGTTGACATTAAAAATTTAGGTCCATTGTCACTGCGAATGGTTTTTATGGTAGTTTGGAATTGATTTTCAATGAGTTTTATGAAACTCTGGAGATGATCACGTGTTTCTGATTTAGTTTTCATTAGAATAACCCAACAAAATCTAGAATAGTCATCAATTAAGGTTAAAAAGTATCAATGACCAGAAGTAGAAGGTATACTATATGGTCCCCAAATGTCAGCATGAACTAAATCAAAAATATCGCAAGATAAAGAACTAGAGGTAAAAGGCAATTTTCTTTGTTTGGAAAAATGACAGGTATCACAAGGAATGACAATATTATTGCTGATAAAAGGGGATTTTGTACATATGGTCTGCATAATAGATTGAGAGCAGTGACCAAGTCTAAAATGCCATAAAGATTGACTAGTTACATTCTTCACAATATTGCAGTGATTGATTTTTGTGGATTTTTGTCTTCTAGGAGATTCTTGATTAAGCACACATAACCCACCCACTTGTTTAGCTGAACCAATTATCCTCTGGTTGATATTCTGCATAATATGACAGGTATGCTCATTAAAAGTGATGGAAAATTTTGAATCACGTAAAAGTTTAGTGATTGATATAAGATTGACACGAAATGATTCTACATACAGAACATCATTTAATATGAGTAAAACAGAAATATGAACTACTCCAGAATAAAAGGCTTGTACTTAGGATCCATTTGGAAGGTTTATGGATATTGGTTTGATGGGTTTAATAGAGATGAACAGGTTAGAATTGTAAGAAATGTGATCAGTGGCACCAGTATCTAATATCCATTGAGTATTTGGATTACCTGTCTGAGAGGAATTTGTACTGAATATGTTGGTATGTACGGGATTTGAAGCATGATTGGAACTGATTTTTTGTTTGCTGCAGCAAGTCTAAAAGACTATTATATTGTTCTTTAGAGAAGGTATAACCTTGTTGATGAGGTTTCTGAGATTGTTCTTCAAAAAATTCATCAAGATTTGCATCATTTTCTTCTTGTGACACTGCATTTGCCTTACGAGAGAAACCTTGTTTGTAACCAGGTGGGTAGCCATGTTTCTTGTAGCAAGTCTCTATAGTGTGGTTAGTTCTACCACAGTGAGTACATATCTTGTTTATGTTTCCACGTCCTCTTCCAGCAAAAGTACGACCTCTTCCTCTTGTAAATTGTCCACCTCCTCGTGTGTATTGATGAGTGGTGACATTTAACAAAGCCTTGGGCTCATTTTCAATTTCATTTTCAACATTATCTGCATTCAATTGACGTTCTTGCTGAATGATTAGTGAGAAAACTTGATTCATGCCTGGCAAAGGTTGCATGAGCATTATCTGGGATCTTGCTTGTGAATATCTCTCATTGAGTCCTCTCAAGAAATGAATTATATGATTTCTTTCTTTGGTGGCCTTTATTTGTACTGAAGCTCCACAAGAATAATCGAGTGAAGGCTCAAGACTGTCAAGCTCGTCCCATAGGATCTTTAACTTAGTGAAATATTTTGATATTGGCCTTGTCCCTTGTTGCAATCGAAAGATGTCTTCTTGAAGATCAACAATGCGAAAAGTATTTGATTGGGAGAGTCTCTCACGTAAATCTTTCAAAACTTGTGAAGCCTGCTCCATACAAAGAACAAATTGGGCTATATTTTTTGTAATTGAATGACTGATCCATGAAAGAACCATCATGTTGCATCGCTCCCATGCATAATGCAAAGTATCTGTTTCAGCTGGAATGGGTATACTGCCATCCACAAAACCAAGCTTGTTCTTGGATCGTAATGCTCTTGTCATTGTTCGAAACAACGAGTGATAATTTTTGCCATTAAGAAGAGTAGGAACAAGAACCAAAGAGGGATTCTCATTTGGGTGAAGAAAGAAAGGACTCATTTGATTATCTGGTGATGAACTCTGGTTCGCCATTGTAGAAAATTAGAGAAAGTAAGAAGAAATTGAGTAAAGAAGACAACAACGAATACCCGAGCTCAATAGAGCTCTGATACCATGTTATCAAAGAAAACAGAGAGAAAGAAAGTATTGAGAAAGAGAAAGAAATGCTCTGAATAATACTTTATGTATTTTCATATCGAATCAAAGTACACTATGACTACTATTTATACAATACAGAATTAACTGTTATATCAAGAAACTAAAAATAACTAACATAACTACAATACAGTTAAGCTGATAAAAC